TAGTTATCCCCCTAAACTATGGTATTTCTAACATTGGAGACTTATAACTATTGGTGATTTCAATTTTCTTAAAAATCCTGTTCCCATCCCTACTGTTTTTTAAATTTTATGGTTGGGTTTATGAACTATTTCCATCCTATTATTAGCTCATCTTTAACCTTCATTGTATTTTAGCCTTTATATCCATATCATCAAAAGTAGGCTCCTTTTGCAATAGTGCCCTTACTAAAGTGCCACCAGTCCCAGGGTTTAACTACATTTCCAGCTTAGATCCCACTCTTAAGCTAAACTCCCACCTCTACGTCTTGTTGTTCGCATTATCCTTGCAGCTTTATCTCATTACTCTTATCTTCAATGTTAGAACTCTTTTAACTACTAAGTTAACAGAAGAATAAGGTGGCTAACTTGTTTCAAAATTGAGGTACAAAGGGCTCAATTGAGTAAGACCCAGAAATAAACTAACTTCTCCCATTAACTAACCTATTGTCAAAATAGTATGGCTTGGTAGGACTCATTTAACTAAGGCTTTTTACCATAAACTATCTAGGCCAGTCAAAAAGCAATAAAAGAAGAAGACTGGCCTACATTACTCAATTTTTTGATAACTTTAAAATCTGGTTATGAATAAAAAATAAACTTCTTTTCTTTGCTATAAAATCATGAGAGGCAAAACAACATGTTATAAATATTCACTCAGGACTTTTATCAAACAAGTTATGAGTAGTAACTAAATGATAAAGAATTGATAAATTTTATTATTCCCAGCCAATAAATTTATACACAATGACTTGCAACTATAATCCCATAAATTCAGTAACTAAATAGCCATAATAAACAAATCCCTTAAAATAACTGACACTTACCAACTAACCACAAGACTAGGAAAACTAATTGACTTATTTAAATAATTAGAAACAAGAAAAATGTGACTGATAAAGAAAACTTGTTAATTTATGTATTATCTTTAACAATCTTCCGTAATATAAAAATTTACAAGAACATATTTGTCTAAAATATTCAAACTTTTCTGAAGGAAGAGGTTTTGTAAACATATTAGCTAGCTAGTCATTTGTACTGTAGTATGAAATATGAATTTTTTCTTTTGCCACTACTTCTCTAAAAAAATAATGTCGAGTCTCAATATATACTTTGCAACTATGATAAATAAGATTTTTCATCACGAATGGTGGACTAATTATCGCAATAGATCATAATTTCCTCTTGTTTCTACTTCATGTCTTCTAAAATTCTTTACAACCATACTACCTTACAAGTTGCTTAGGTTACAGTCATGATTAAGCCTCAAATGATGATAAATATGTAGATGTTTGATTCATTGAGCTTTAAGTTATGACATTTGATCCCAAACTAAAAACATATTATGTGGTACTTTTGTGATCATCAATATAACTTGCCCAATCACTATCTGAATATCTATGCAATTTCAAATTGTTGGTGCTACAAAACAAACAATATGAAACTATTCCCTTCAAGTATCTTAACACTTTTTTTGCTGCCCCATAATGTATCTTACCCATAATGTATCTTACTTGGTTTTTGCATAAACCTATACAAAAGTCTAGTAGCTTGCAAGATGTCTAGTCGGGTGTTAGTGAGATAGAGTAGCCTGCCTCCTAAGCTTTGATAAACATGAGCATCAACTTGTTCTTCTCTATCTTCAGCACTTGACTCTTGATAAGTTGCCATTGGAGTCTTCATTGAATTTCAATCTTGTAACTTAAACTTGTTAAGAAGATCCTTTACATACTTTTGTTGATAAACAAAAAATCATGCACCACTTTGATGTATTTCTCATCAACTTCTCTTGTTTCTACACACAAGGTAAGCTCACTAGCACTTAGAAAACGATTATTACTTAAATATCCATCAATATCCAGTTGTTTTTAGAACACAAACCTCCAAAAATGATGATAAATGTTTATTGCTAAATAAAAATGGACTATCGGACAGGAACAAAATGATAAAGAACTAATACAATGAGCTGCAACTACAATTTCATAAATTTAGCAACTAAATAACCATGATAAAAAAATCCCTTGAAATAACTGACACTTACCAACTAACCACAAGACTAAAACAACTAATTGACCTTTTCATATAATTGGAAATAGGAAAATGTGACTAACAAAGAAAAACATGTGACTTATTAATTTCTACATTATCTTTGACACTTTTCCATAATATATAAATTTACAAAATTAGTCATTTGTCTAAAAAATTTGAATTTTGTCAAAGAAAGAGTTTTTATAAACACATTAACTAGTTGGTCATTTGTACAACAACATACAATCTAAATGCTTCCTTTTGCCACCAATTCTATAATAAATGATGTTGAGTCTCAATATGTCTTGTGCGACTATGATAAGTGGGATTCTTCGTCATGGAAATGGTGGACTAATTATCACAATAAATTATAGTTACCTCTTGCTTTTGCTTCATGTCTTATAAAAATCTTTGCAACCATACTACCTGATAAGTTTTTGGAGTTACAACCA